TAAAGCCATTCTCCTTGTCCTGTCCCGACATCCCTTGTCCAAAGCCCCTCTCCGGGTTTCCTGGAGCCCCTTTAGGCACGGGAGCTGCTCTAAGGTGTCCCCTTCAGGAGCCTTCTCTTCTCCAGCTGCCCCAGCCCAGCTCTCTCAGCCTGGCTCCAGAGCAGAGCTGCTCCAGCAGTGTGTAGTTCTGGTGCCCCTAATATAAGGACATGGAGCTGTTGGAGCAAGTCTAGAGGAGGCCATGAGGATGCTCAGGGGCTGGAGCACTGCCCGTATGAAGACAGGGTGAGAACATTGGGGCTGCTCAGCCTGGAGAAGAGAAGCTGTGTGGAGACCTCAGAGCAGCTTCCAGGGTCTGAAGGGGGCTACAAGGATGCTGCAGAGGGACTCTGCATCAGGGACTGGAGCGACAGGACAAGGGGTGATGGGTTCAAACTGAAACAGGGCAAGTTCAGGTTAGATCTAAGGCAGAAGCTCTTCCCTGTGAGGGTGCCGAGGCGCTGGCACAGGGTGCCCAGAGAAGCAGAAAGCCCTTTTGCCTCAGCTGACAGATAACCAGGGAAGAAGCCACAAACTCCAGTGCTCCTGCAGTGTGCTCCTCCTGGAGCACCCGCTTCCCACCGGGAAGGGCACATACACCTTCTGCAGGCACTGCTAAACCCCATGGGAAAGCTTCTGGGAGAGGAGCCGGAGCAGGGACGCAGGCAGGCTGCAGCAGGCAGGCTCTCACCGTGCCAGCACCACTTGGGGGCAGAGGAAGACCGCAGCAGAGCTGTGCTGCTCCTCAGCTTTTCCAGCAGAGCCATAAAACCAGGGTTCTCCACAGCCCCATCTCCTCCTTGCCTTCCCCATCACCATCACCTCCCCTGCCCCTTGCTCCAGGAGCATCATCTGAGGATACAGGACCATGCGCAAGCTGCAGCATGCTGCAGTCTCCTGTTCCAAAGCTTTTTTATCCCTTGGATTTCTGCACTGCAGTGCTACGTTTCCCTCTCTGCACCTTCCATTCCCATTTCCAGGCTGTGCTGTGCCTGCTTCTTTGTCCTCCAGGCACCCTGCAGAGCTGCCACACTGCAACACAATGCTCTTTGGGAAGGACTAACCCGCTCCAGTGCTGCTCCATCTGCATCCAGACATGGATGGGACCAAGAACATGCCCAGGACACTGACCATAACCATGCAGCCATCAGCCCAGCTCACAGCAAAAGCACATAAGCAAGTACTGCTGCATGACCTGAGCGCTACCTGTAGAAGCAGAGATGCTTGGGGCAGAAGAAGAAACCACCCCCTTACCTGTACTGGAGACACCAGCAACGTTGCTGGGTTCACTGATGAGATCCTGCATGACCGCCAGGACACGGAACTCGTACCAAGTATCCTGAAACACCAAGAACACCCATCAGGTCCCTCACCGCAGCCTCCAACCTGGCCCAGCTCCTTGAAGACCCCAGCACAGGGACTGAGCCACCCCTAAAGCATGCCCAGAGCTGCAGCGCACAGCGCAACACCATATGTATGGGGTGGGAAGGTCCTGCTTACCTGGGACAAGTCCTTGGCAAAGAACTCGTTCTCAGTCCCTGGGATACCATCATCCAAGATCTCCCACCTCTCCGCGACGCGGAATTCCATGATGTAGCGGTCGATGGGGAAGCTGTGGTTAGCAGGAGGAAGCCATGACAAGAGGACGCCTTGCTGTGTCCGGTTGGCTGTTAGGCACCTCGGTGGGGTAACCAACACCAGAGGCTCTGGAGTTGTTACAGGGAATGCTGGAGACAGAGCAGATGGGACAGGGACACCTTTGAGATGGGGCAGGATGAAGGATGCTCTCCCATCAGGGCAGACAGAGCACTGTGGCAGCAGCAGTTCCCAGCTTCCTGGAGTTTCAGGCGTATCTGATGCCTGCACTCTCATCTCAGTATCCTTCCCAAAAGCAGGACTAACAATGCAGTGGATCCAAGAAAAACCCCTTAGAAAAGCTCCTGCTTCCTCCCACCTCTGCCTGAGGCAGCTCCAAAGCAGGTACCAACACGCAAGAGCTCCAACTGAGCTGCACACAAGTGATTTTGGGCTCCATTAATACCTCCTGAGCCCAGCTGAACTTCAGAAAGATCTGAAAGGTGACTGGTGCAGCACAACTCTCCTGTGGCCTCTGAGGCCAAGCTTTAAGGATCCCCACGCATCCAGCAAACGTTACAAGCTTCATTCAGGACCCTCCACAAACTACTGCTGATGATCAGCATCACATCGGCCACAAGGCCACATCCTCCTGAATCCCTTCCCATTCCTCCCCTCGTGCCCATGGAGGACCTACCTAGAGTGTTCACAGTGACCACCTCACTGAAGGAGCTGGTGCCCAGCTTGTTTTGAGCCAAGACACTGAACTGGTACGCAGTCTCCGGTTCCAAGGTATCCACCAGTAGCCAACTGGACCCAGCTGGCAGAGGGAGAGCCAGCCAGTCGTGGGGGCCAAACTGGGCTCTCTTCATCCTGCCGAGAGAGAAGGGAGCATCCTCAGGGAAAGGTGCCTTTGACAGGGAGGACCAAGAGGCAGCATTAACTTCTGGAGTGAATATGGAGCTTCCCCGAGCGATGGTTTGGTTTGAGAGCAGTGATGTGTATGGACACGGGGCAGCCACTCGCCACCCAAGAGCTGGCTTGGGGATAACCAGGGCCAGCATCCCATTGTGCCACTCTGTGGCTCGTAGACACTGCCACCAGCCTCCCCCTCTGCCCTGCACCCCCTGAGCAGGGTCGGGGACAAAAGCAGCACCAACAGCCCTGCTCTGAGGTTGTCTCCATCAGATTCCCACGGGCAAAAGTAGAAGCTGGCACGTTTTCCCTCCGGTGAGTGCTGCAAAGGGGACAGTTGGAGCAGGAGATGGGCCCTGTTCCCATTTATACCTCGACAGCTCCCGAGCCAGAGCTGAGTTTTCCCTCAGCTCTATCCCTGTCCATGCAATCCCACAAGAGACATGGAGCTAAATCACCACCTTTGCCACATCTACACAAGTCAGGGGCTGTCGGCACAGCCCAGGGCATCACTTGGGCTTTGGCAGCGAAGCACTTGTGGGGCACACAGGACACAGGCCTTCTGTCCCACAAACCCAGGGTGAAAAGAGCTCCCAGAGCCACCCCAGTGCAACCCAGCATAGACCAGTGTGCAGCCACCTCCACAAGCCATCACCCTGCTGGGAAGCACCATGGGGAAAGAGGCCCCGTGTCCCAAAGGAGCATCACTGTGCTGGTACTCATGTTAGAGGGATGCTCTAGCGAGTCCCAGCCCTTGGCTGCAGGTTTTGGTTGTGTCCGTAGAGGATTTGGGAAGGATTGCTGCAGATGGGCTATTCTGAATAGGGCAGATGTGTAACCACCAGTTTACAGCCAGGTAAATCCACCGAGTGGGAAGTAAAAGATGGAGCAAGGACAAAGTGATGCTGCTGTAAAGGGAGCAAAAGGTGAGGCAGGAGAAGCAGCAGCAAGCTATGGGAACAAGCAAGTCGGTGGAGAGCCATGCACGTGCAGCGTGCTCCACCAAACCCAGTGGGGAAGCCTCTGTCCCACCACTGCTCCAGCTGGGAATACAGCTCCCAGGATCCCCACTGCCACTGCAGTGGAGCAGCCCATGCCCGGAGCAGGTTTCCATGTGGCATTTAACTCCATCACCTTCCACACCCCTTCTGTGGGGGGACACGCAACGGCAAGGAGCTGAGTTGGGGTGAGAGGAGGGTGCACTAACCACCCCAGGATGTGAGACCATCCTTGCTGAGGGACAATGTCTATGCAGGGGGGATGCTGTGGTAGGTCTGGCTACCTCTGGGGAGCAGAGTTTGCATTTCCAGCATCAATAACCACAGAAGAAGGAGGAAGCATCAGCTCCACCGAGGATGAAGCTGTGTTTCGCTTGAGCATCCCATAGCCACAGCAGGGAGGAAAGCACAGGGATGGCCAAACTCTCCACATGACACTAGATGACCCAGCACCATCCCAGATCCTTGGTGCCAAGGAACAGCATAGCACCCAATGCTCACACCCTACAAGCAGGGCAAGACAGGTCTCTGGCTCCCTATCCCCACAGCACCCTGTAAATTCCCTATGGAAAGCTCGGTGTAAACACCCTTCCTGCTGCTGGCTGCTCTCCCAGGGGTCTGGAAGAGCCTGGATGAGGCAGGAAACCAGCAGCAGGTCACAGAGCAAGAATAGCAGCAGCTGCCACATCTCTCCAGAGCAGAGAGGTTTAACTGCTCCTTCCCAAGGGCATTTTCATCACAGCAAGGTCTGCACTGCTCTGCCTGCTCCATTCCTCCCTCCTTCCATCTCCCGACAGTCTGGGGGAGCAGAGCAGGAATCATTGCAGGTGACGTCTGCCCTATCTCCACTCTATCAGTATCCATCAGGATAAATTAAGGGAAGGAAGGAAAGAGAGAGCAAGAAGAAAGGCTGGAGAATGCCAGCCCAAGCCTTCACATTTCCAAGGACATGCAAGACGAGCAAGTGCAGAGCCCCAGCCTCACTGCAGCTCCATTCCTCCCTCCCTTGTCCCAGGGGATGCACCCATCGGCTTTGGGTACCAGGTAGCACAGGAGTGATGGGAGCAAAGCCCCAGCCCTCATCTCACAGTGGCTGGCTGTGAACTGAGCTGGGATTTAATCACCTCCAGGGAGCCACAGAGCAAGGAGAGATCATTTCTGCTTAGTCACAGCTCTTCCAGGAGGCGCTCTCTAAAGGTTGCATTTCCCACCCTCTCCCTGCCTGTTAAGCTCCATAAACAGTTTATCTCAAAACGAGATGCCAGGGGCAAAGTTACATGAATGCAAAGCACCTCCCTTGTACCATCCAGCACAACAAAACCTGCTGGGCCACCCTGATCCAACCCACCCCCCACCCCACCCCAACCTCTCCGGGGCACCAAACTCAGCCCTCTAATGACACCCATGGGTGCGGAGCTGGGCACGCCACCCTCCCCACCCTCCTCCCCCCATAGGTGCTGGAAGCTCTGGTCAGCTAGAAAGGAAAAGAAGCAGAGAGCAAAGCATGCCAGGATGACTCACAGAGGGCCGTACCAAACTGAGAATGTCTGCTCGTATCCACCGTCGTAGCCGGGCTCCCAGGAGACGTTGGCTGAGGTCATGGCCACCACCACGTGCACGCTGGTTGGGGCATGAGGGCTTGTGCCTGCAAGGGACATGAGGGATGGGGTCAAAGGGAGCAAAACCAGAGGAGCTGTGGCTGCCCCAGCCCTGGAAGTGCTCAAAGCCAGGTTGGACACAGGGGCTTGGAGCAACCTGGGCTAGTGGAAGGTGTTCCAGCTCGTGGAACTGGATGAGCTTTAGGGTCCTTTCCAACCCAAACCATTCCATGATTCTTTGCCAGCTGGAAGGGGTCTGCTCCCAGCCATGATTGCACAAGGATTCCTCTAGCCCCAGCTAAAGGCCACCCAGAATTCCAGCTAGAAACAGCAGCAGGACAGCTCGTGGCCCACAACCTGGGCTAGTGGAAGGTGTTCCAGCTCGTGGAACTGGATGAGCTTTAGGGTCCTTTCCAACCCAAACCATTCCATGATTCTTTGCCAGCTGGAAGGGGTCTGCTCCCAGCCATGATTGCACAAGGATTCCTCTAGCCCCAGCTAAAGGCCACCCAGAATTCCAGCTAGAAACAGCAGCAGGACAGCTCGTGGCCCAAACAGGAGCAGCTTACCCCACCAAAAAGCCACATTGCTCTCCATGGTAAGCATCCCCACCTTCTTTACTCGAGGTCCCACCACTTCCACACCTACCTACAACAGTGAGGTGGGTGCTGGCAGTAATGCTTGCGACGATGTTGGTGGCGACGCATTCCCACTCGCCGTGGTCATCCTTGCCGAGGGAGCGGATCTGCAGGGTGCCACCGGGCAGTGTGTTGTGCTTGCTCCTGCTGGGCTTCCCTACCTTGGGCAAGGAGCCGGGCAAAGAGAGAAAGAAAGAGGACTCAGCAGCAGGTTGTGGGGCAGGGCGAGGCGGCAGCGGGGTCACTAAGCTACCTGCGTGGCCCAGGGCACAGCGCCGGCCACCGGCAAGGGAGCTGGTCTCTCCGGTCGTGGCAGGGCAGCCGGGTCCCCCCCCTCTCGGAGGGCGCGAGAGGAACGTGTGAGGGAGGCTGGTGCTCGGCACTCGACACGAGTGGAGAGCCCCACGGAACCCACACGGACACTGCAGCCAGCATCCAGAGCTGAGGCCGCTGCCCAGGAAGGTGCAAAGCAGCAAACATCATTCCAGGTTGCCCCAAGATGCCCAACCTGCCCCTCGACCAGCAGCAGGACCCTTCGTGTCTGATGTTTGGGCAGAGAGGACCCCGTGGGGATGCAGGAGGATGGAGGGAGGTGCCCGGGAGCTCTCAAGCTGAAAGATGGATCTTGTAGCAACTCATTTCTAGGCTCATGAGCCCAAATGATGCAAATCCCACATTGTCCCGAGTCTTCTTCAGCTGTTCTTCATGCAGAGGGCTCTGCTGATCCACACCAGGACACACAGTTGGATGGCACACGGGATGAGCAGAAAGCACATGGGACTACCAGTGCCAAGCCCAAGTCTTCAGGAGCTCTTCAAGAGACTGGTCAGTGCTGGTGGGCTGATGGGGAGCTTGCTTCTGGCACTGGGAAACTGAGCCCGGCCCAAGCCAGCCCCAACTGCACGTGGGGGGGATAAGCCCAGAGTCATGACAGTAGGAAGGTGGCCAGAAGGCACAAGGAGGGTTGAAAAGAGACCTGAATAAGAACGGTGAGGGGCAGGGAAGAGAAAAATGAGATGGAGAAAAAGACTAAAGGGACAGCAAGTTTTAGATAGGTCACTTGCAATCTGTGCAAGCCATGGTCCTCCTCATGCAGGTAAAAGGAACACAAAGAGATCCAGCATCTCACACCGCTAGGACTGAGGATGCTGCTGCCCACTGGGTGACACAGGGACCCCATCACTCTCAGGAGCTCTGGGAAGGGGACACGAGGCGTGGCAAGAAGATCCTGACGGGGGGACAAAGAGCACAGGAGGTTCCTGCATGGTGGCTTTCCTATGGGAGCAGCAAGGGTGGGAAGCAAAGGGAAGGCTCAGGAGGACTGGAAAGCCCTTGTGGCTCTCAAGCTGTGCCACCACAGCCTGCGTGGCACAGAAAGGGACACCCTGGAATCATTATGAGTCCAGCATCATTAAAACAGCTTCTTCCCAAGGTCTTCAAAGCCACAGGGTTGCTGACAGGTCTGGCCCCTTAGCAAAACACAGCCAAGAGTCCCCTGGTAGCTTGAGCGATGGGAGATGCTCCACCACGGGAGATCCACATGGGAATGGTGGCCACGTCCTCCCGGTGACCACCTCACCAGCAGGCGAGGAGGAAGAGGAGGGGGACAGGGACAGGGCTCAGCTTTGCAGATGCTTTTCCCGTGCTGGTTTCATGGGATTCAAGGACTTGGTGGCCACAAACTGGGCTTCCCCCACCCACCTGCGGGACAGGACGGCAGTGGCTCAGCCCAAAGCGAAGCAGCTGTACCTGCAGTTTGTTCTTACCGGGACAGAGTGTGGCTTCTCTGTCTGCAATAGTCACCAAAAGCCAAAGGCACTGCAGATTTGTCTGGCAGGCCGGGTACCTTTCTCCAGGCGATGATGGGAAAGGGGTCTCCGGCAGCAGCACAAGGAATCAACAGCTCCCTCCCTGCCTCCTGTCTGTACTCCCAGCCTGGTAGCACCGTGAAATAGGGGGGGTCCTGCAGCCAAGGGAAAAGGCACCCATCAACCTGTGCCAACTCCCATCAAGGAGCATCAACCCATTGACAACTCCCACCAAGGAGCATCCCACCCATGTCAACTGCCGCCAAGGAGCATCAATCCGTTGCTAACTCCCCACCAAGGAGCATCAACCTGTGCCAACTCCGACCACGGATCTCAACAAGATCAATAAATCACTGCTGCTCACAAGCACGGACTTCTTGGTGTTCAGGGAAGGAAGAGGCAGCAAATCCCACCTCAGCCACACTGGGAGCCCAGCACACCTCAGGCTCTGAATGCAGCAAGAGCACACGGAGCATCTCTAGAGCTCAAATCATCCCTTTAATAAAGCCCTCCATGAACCCAAGCTCAGGTTTGTTGCAAAAAGGCCATCCCAGGGACATGTTTCCTGGTCCAGCACTTTTGGACCATACACTGGCTGTGGCCCAACCTTTGCCACTGCTCCAGTGGGATATTATCCAGCTACACCTGCCTAGTGTTCCAGGATGCTCATGAGGCTGCACATCCACCTTTCTCAGCACAGCTAAGAGACACAAGGTTCAAAGCAAAGGCAACGGGGTTTTGTTAAGGTGAGTAACAGACAAGTTTTGGGGGCTCAAAGCCCTTCTTGAGCTTTCTTCACAGAGAAGCGCTCAGAAAAGCAAAGTAAATCCTCAATCCCTGCACTGAACCAACAACCAAATAAGCATCCTGGATTAGAAACCCCACCTCACCCATCCCTGCAGGGCTGTGCTGAACAGGAAGGCAGAACGAGCCACGTTCAGAAAGCCTGGCTACACCAGGAGATCCCTCCACAAAGCACACACGGATTCACTGCAGCACCTTAACCCTGGGAGCATTTCTTGGCTGGAGAAGACACCACCCTTGGCTGCAGAGCAGAGCAAAGTTACCTTCAGTACCAGTCGGGCAGGGGGAGACTGGCCCATCGTACCCAGGGCGTTATAAGGCACACAGGTGTAAGTGCCGAGAGCATCTTCAGTTGCCTCCTCTATCCGGATCGACCCATCTTCCAGCAGGTTCCAGCCGGCATACTGCAGCAGTGAGAAAGAGGGAGCTGCTTCATCCCACACCATCACTGCTGCTTATTCTCCCTTCAGGCAGATCCCCCCCGCCAGCTATGCTCCAGGAGATGCCCAATTCCATCCGCAGCACCCAAGCCATCAAGTAGCCCAAAAGACTTAACATCTGAATCTATCAGCCCCTAAGGTAAACCTCGTCCTGGTGGCATCAAGGAGACAAGCTCACGCGAGGGGCTGAGGGCACCAAGGACCAGGAACTCACCGGTTTAAACAGAATTAAAACTTTGGATCATTAATATTTAAGGAAATTTAAGATCCTGAGCGTTTTCTTTAAATATTTAATGGCTCATATCCTTGCTCTGACGATCAAACTGTGATTATAGGATGGCAGAGAGCTACTAAAAGGGTCTTTTAGCCACCCGTTCCCATTGGAGAAATCAAAACAGGGCCATCAGGATGTGACTTGGGAGGGCAGCAGGCACAAGGTCTGGGAGGTGCAGACATCATGTCTACACAAGAACCCGAATTCACTCTGCCCACAGCTGACAAGGAACAGCAGCATCATCCCACCCATGGGATGGATTAGTGCACTGGGCAGGGTCAAGGTTGGACTTGATGATCTTAAAGGTCTTTTCCAACCCAGCTGATCCTATGGGGTTTCTTCTCTCCTGATGGACACACAGGGTGATGCTCTCTGGCCTGAGCAGAGGACATGGGGTCCGAATCCCTCTGTATCCCCACATGTCCCTCCCCAGGGGCTTCCTTACCTTCTCGATCCGCAGGGGACGTCCGTCTTTGTTCCACTTGACCAGCGTGACCGGGGGCTCTGCCTCGACCGGGCAGCGGATGTATCCGTGTATCCCGATGGGAACATAGATGACGGGGGGCATGTTCACCACACGGGCAGGATCTGGGAGAGCAGCAGCACCGTGTTAGTGTGGGGAAAGAGCCCATCTCTCCTCCGCCACCCGGCTTCAGAGGATCTCCATCGCTTTGATAATGAATTCCAAGCCCAGATACCACCTTGGCTCTCGAAGGCTGTTATCTCCAGGCTTCCTACACACAAATCCACTGTAATACCTGGCATTTCTGGGAGGCTTTCCTCATGCCCAGGGCGTTCCTACCTAGGGCTCATTAAAAGATGCATCTAAGAAGGAGCATTAAGTACATCTGCTGACACATCCACTTTGAGTTGTGCCCTGCCGAAGCCCAAGCTGCTCCATCACACCCAGCCTGCCTGGTTCTACACACCAGCAGTGAAAACTATCCCAGCTTCCAAGCCTTAAAACACCCCAACTGCAGCAATAGGGATGGGAGAAGGGGTTCATGACTGGGCTACTGCAAGTCCTTTACCTCCTGCCTGTTTGTACTCGCGGCTCATAGAGCCTGGGTCACGTTGAGCATCAGCCACCTCCTGCCTCCCCAACAGGATGCCTGAAGCTTAAAATATGCACCTTAACCCCCCCCACGCTGCATCACCCACACAGTCTCGCGATGCTCCAGTCTAGGAGGTGTCATTACCAGTGCTTCTAAGAGCTTTTTAATTAAGTGTGAGTGGGTTGGAGCGAATCTAGGCTTTCTTTAATAAGCAGCTTGATAAAAAAAGCAGGAAAAAAGAAGTTACTTTTAATAAGAAGAGTATTTCCACAACCTTGTCTAGACACCGGCAGCACGAGGTTAGGGGGAAAAGCCTGACAGGGCTTACGCTGCAATAAGGGATGAACGTGGTTTTGGGATGCAGCATCCCTGTGCTGCTGGTGCAGAAACGCAAAGCTGGGGCTAAAGGCGAGGTGGTTGGGAGGAAGGGATGGAAGACTCGCTTCCTTGGGGTAAAAACTATCCACTTTGGGAGTTCTGCTCCCTCCCTGCCTGCCAAAACACGGAACCCCAACCTGGTGCCCCCGGCAATGGCACCGTAACCCAGATTTGCCGAGTGCTGCATATGGAATGGGCTTTACCCCCCCCTCTGCTTCACTCCACCTCTTAGGACATGTAATCAAGGGCTCTGGCAGCATGGGAGAGGGTAATGGGATCGAGCCTTTCACTACTAGGTCACTGGCGAGGGGCCAGCCTGGCTCACTAATGCCCCAGAGCCATGTCCCCATCCGAGGGCTGCTTCGGTGGGTGGGAATTCTCCCTCCTGAGGGATCAGTCCCGGTCTGGATGAGGTTTGCTGTGGAGGAAAGGGGTTTGCAGCACAAGCAGCCCCCCTCGCAGGGCTGTCTGGAGGGCAGGTTGTCCAGAGGCTGGTTTTTCTGCCATTAGAGCTATTTTTAACAGCCTTCAGCCCTGATGAGTGGTCCTGGATTAGCAGCAGGGCAGATTTAATGGCCTGAGGCCACAGGCTCTCCCAGGAGCCACCCAGCCGGGTGCATCCAGCCACCTCTGCTTGGTCATCCCTTCATTCATCCCCATAGGGAGACCACTGGACCTACCAGCCCTTCTCAGCGCAGCTCCCCACTGGTGTGGGGCTTCCCACTGACCAGCATTATTGAGTTAAAACCCTCAAATCACGAGCCTGCTTTGCTCAAGCCTGTCTATCAGTATAAAATAAACCCTCTGCAGCCTCTTACAGCCGAGTAATATTGTCATTGAGAGCAGCAGCAATTGAGGCCATTACTGTCAAATGCCACAGGCCAATGGTGGCACACTACCCATTACTGCCTGGGGAGCCCCAGAGAACAAGCGTGGGAAGCAACGCTCCTGCTCCAGCCCCTTCTCCTCTGCTTGTTTAGATCAGTTACAGCCTGAAGAACACAACATGCAAAGCAGGAAAACCCTCCACGGGAACATGCCCCCATAATAAATAGTGGGGAACACAAGCAGGTAGTTGAGTCTGAGAGCCCTGAGCTGGCATTTCCCTGCCCGACACGACACAGATGAGGACAGTGCGGTGGGGAGATGCCCACCTAATCAGAACCCACTTGTATCAAAGGGTGGAAGCTACCCAGGATGCTCAGGCTGTTTGCTTTCTTGTTGCCCACACCCTACAAACACATGGGGGATGCCATCCGGGAATCCCAGAAGCTGTGGCTGGCCCACCCCTCGCAG